CTTAAATAGATAACTAAAAGTTGTATATATAACTAGTTGTACTTTTATCTCTATAAAAATAGTTGTAATAACTAATCCAATAAAAGTCAATAAAGTATCATCACAAAGTATGGCCTTTAACAAAATAATAATAATAATAATAAAAGAAAATAAAGAAAATAATAAAAAGATAGATATTAGTATTTAAGTAAAATTTATAAAAATAAAAATGATTTAATAATTAGTTTTAATTACAAATTTTGGTTCTGGTTATAATATAAATAGAAATATAATCCAATCTAAAAGGTTTATCTCAAGAATAAAAATAGTTCTATAAACTATAATACTAAAATTGAGATAAAAATCTGGATCTTAAATAATTTAATAAATTTAATATAAGAATTGCAAAATTAGAGAATTTAAAATAAAATATCTATACTGAAACCAACCAAGTATGAGAAAGTTACTTTTTTTATAGTTTTTTTCAAAGCTTACCTTAGTGCTGCTGCTGCAAATAACCAAATTAACAACCACTATCTACACCAAATTATTGATAAAATTACTAGCAAACCTATTAGTACTGAGTATTTAGCTTAATTATTTATATACTTTCATATTTTTAAAAATAACAAACTCTCTATTTCATCAAATAGAGAATCTTATAACAAACAATTTTATCCTAAAGCTCAACAAATTTTATACTCTAAATTTAACATTAAATTTAATCTACCCAAAATCAATTTCATCTTTTCTGATTTAAATACCCTTACCAAATCAATATCTTCAACTTTCAAAGAAAATAATAATTCATCTGAGCTTCTTGATGATAACATCATTATATCAGAGTCAATACTAATAATAATAATCAAAAAACAGATCAAAATTTATAACCAAATCATGTAACAACACTTTCTCATAACTCTTTTCAATAAACTCTTCTGTAGAGCACATAAATGCAGTTACTACTTCTAAGATAATGATGTTTTTTACACTTAGTAGACCATTTTTAGAAGAGAATAATATAAGTAAACAGGTAGTTAAGTCTATTTATATAAAGAACCAGGTTAATAATAGTCAAACCCAACATACAGAACAGGCTATGGTATTCTGTGTAGCTGTGCAAACCAAGCATATGGTAAGCAAATTTACAGAAGAACTCTCTATTTCTTTAAACTCCATTTTATTATCTTATATTAAGGAAGAACTACAAGACTTATTTTACAATATACTATATATTCCAGACTCATATTATAACCTGTGATTATCATGTTTGAACCTACCTCTACTTTCATATTCTCAAACACTTAGCTTCTTTTTAAAATATATTTATTATTACAACTATTCATAATTAAACAATTTCAACTATGCATTTACAATATTAATCAAAATCAATTATAGTAAATACTATATATATTTATTACACAAATCTCAACTTTCATCTAAATATTTTTTCACAACTATTAGGCTATATTTATTATCTATCTATACTTATTCTTTTTAAATTTTCTTCAATAAACAATAACATACCAAATACTAATTTAATCATAAAGGAAAATAAAATAGATTACTTTTATTTTTAACTAGTAAAAACTATTTTAAAAGATCATAATGAAACTACTATAACTAAACAATATTATAACAATATCTAACTTAATATCTGCTATAACAAATTTCTATTTTACAACTATCTACTACTGCTTTCTCATCTACAAACTATTATTTTTTTTTTATGATATATTTACAGCTTTGGCTATTCACCTGATAACATTTGTGGCTATACATTAATTATTTCTATTAAAATTCTCATAGTGAAGATCATGTTTATCTTTTATCAGAAGTTAAACCATTATCTAATTACTTTATTCTACTAATTCAAGCTATCTGGCATTATCTGAATATTCAGCTAAAATCAAATATATTAATACCAGTCTTCTCTATATCAGCATCTTTAGCTCCTATTTTTAGTAATTAAACACAACTTAGAAACACTAATATCTTACTTCTAAATCTCACAATCTGCATTCACAATATTCAAAAATACAACAAATATCTTAAACAGCAAGTCTAAAAGGATTTTTTATCACTTATTTCTTAAACATTATCAGTATCACAGAAACTAAAATAGCAGAAAACAATATCATTATTTAATAGATCCAAGAAGCTACTAACTGAAACATTTTACTCATAATACTAGGTAACTTTAATGTACTACTGAACAACTCTATCTTCTTATTTATTAAATATAAACTACTGCAATTTCTACAATATAATAATATTTATAATTTAGCAGATTATACAAATACCTTCTCTTATATCTGGCATAGCAGTAGACATCACAGTAGTATTGACTATATTTGGGCCTACTTTTTTTTACTTAAATATCTCAATTCATTTTACTTAGATAATACAGAAAATTGCACTCAAAGTGATCACAAAATTCTAATATCCTCTTAGACATTTCCTCATGCCCTTATAAGCAAAAACAGACATTCAATTAGAACTAAATGCAGAACTTTTAACTACAAAGCAATGAACAAAGAGCAATGAGAAATCTTTGCTATTCAAGTTTCTCTTAACTTTACTATAAACAAAACATCACTTTGTACTCAAACTTTTGAATTTCTAGAAATTACCTGCTATAAAATCCAAACTAGTATTATTAATGCTACTACTAAATGCTTTCTTAATAAAAAAATAACAATTCACAACTTTCAATACTTATTTTCAGCTAAAGCTATTTTGCTTCATCTAAATCTTGAAAAACTCAATAACATTATTAAACAAGTTAAAACCTCCTTAATTAACTCATTATCTATACCTATACATTTTAATTTTATTACATACTATTTTAATTCAAAACATTATCTTAATATACCTCTTATATCTAACTCTTATAAGCTTATACCAATCTGAATTACTAATACTAATACTGAATAGCAAGCTTTTTACCATGTCTGAAATATAGAAAACATTAAACAAATCCAATAACAAATAAATTAGCATATTAATCTTAGATGCTCTAAACTCCAAACCAATCCCAAACTCATAATTAACAGCATACTTAATTATTACAAAGATCCAGTAAAATTTAATAATATAAAAACATCAAATAATACTATCACAGATTTCAAACTAATTAAAGAACATATCCAACATTATTTTGACAACTAAACCATCTACAGACCTATTAATAATTATGAATTTAATACTAACTGATTAGAGAAATATGAACCTAAAGATACTACTAGTTTAGACTATTATAATTTAAACTTGGCTGAATTTTCACTTGATAAAATTACTAGAACTCTTAACTAACTTCCTAATAACAAAATATGTAAACTATCTGAAGTTAGCTATAAAATACTTAAACAGACTGGTTTCAGTTTCCTTTAAGCAATAGTTGTCTTTTTTAATTGATGTATTCAAACTTCTCATATATCTAAACAATAAAAAGAAGGTTACATCTTTTCAATATCTAAAAAACCTATCTTTGATAAAAACCTTTCAAATACAAGACCCATCAGCCTTGTTGAACATATTAAAAAACTATACACAAAACTTCTTACTAATTATCTTAATTTAATTTACATAACATCTTATTCTATCTTCTTACAACTATATTGCTTTACCTGGCAACAGCACCTCTATTTCTATACACATACTTAATAATATTATTAAAGATGCTAGTTGTAACAACAAGCAATTATGGCTCCTGTCTCAGAACTAGTATTCTGGCCCGGGTCGGGTGACCTGTATGGGTCATCTAACTTGACGGGTCATGGGTCAGAAATTGCTTTAACCCGGGTCAAACGGGTCAAGATTCGGGAATAGTAAAAAAATATTTTTTGTTGATTTAAACTCTTTTTTTTTTAAAAAAAAAGATGATACTATATAAATTCGAACTTACAGTATTAGATATTGGATTTTATAATTTTTCACCTATGTGATGTATCACCACTTATAAGATTATGCATAACGTTAAATCAAAATAATAATAAAAATGTGTTAGTTTAAGGTTAAGGTTAGCATTAGACTAGAGTTAGATATAAGTTTAGAAAATAGAGATTTTAACCTAAAATTTTGCAAGGAATTTTTAATTAAGGAGTAAGAGGTAGTTTCATATGCAAAATCTTGAATTACAAACAATTATTCAAAAAGACTAGTTTGCTTCAATTTCACGTTACACCTGATCTTGCATTTGATCAGGGATGATGATACATCGCTATTGTGATAAATTACAATATCCTTAGATATTACTGTATTACATAAAAAAAAATTTATTTGATCACTAATTTTTATCAAATTATTATATTTTGATATTGAAAGTTCAAGATTTACAACATCGCCATTATGTAAAATCTCATTGAGTAAGTTTTTTTGCGAATGAATTATTTGATCAGAAACCTGTTTTTGAGCTTTTAATAAATGAAGTTTTTTACATTTTAATAACTAACCTTTTATCATCTAAGTCAACAGTCTTCTTCATACGTAATAATTACATTTTTGGTGAGTTTATGTTTATCAAGTTCAGCAACTTTTGTAAAGATTAAATGGATTTCTTTTAACAGGGCCTTCCACGTAAAATTTTTTTTTTTATTTGTTAGTAACCATAACATTATACATAATTACATCATAATGTATTAAATCATGTGTTATGCATTTTTTTTATTCAACAAATACAACCCATTTTTATTCTCACAGTTATTATTTCTTTACTCATTTAATAATAAGTATTTAATTCTTTATAGCGTTTATAAAGATTCTAATGACTTATTAAAATCTTTCAGGTGATTCCTTATATTTGCCCACTTTACTATACTTTAATTTTTAGATTTTAACAATATATATATCTTTTTTCTTTTTTTCTAAAATTTCAAATGTTTAATAGTTCAATTTTAATTGACATTTGCTTAGTACTTGACCTAAATTCGTAACCATTCGCCTAATTCAATAAAAATATAATAAGTTACTAAATTCATTAATTTTAACTATTTAGATACAATATGAAATTTTTTATTACTCTAGCCAAAAATATGTGACATGGGCCAAAGCTTGAGAGCTGCTTTAAGGAGCAAAACTGATTCAACGAATTGTGAATTAAGATGTATTCTTTTTTCAGTGATGGTAAGACCCGCTGATAAAAAAAGATGTTCGGATGTTACCAACATAGCCAGAATAGAAAGGCACTTGCGTGCAAGTTTTGCAAGTATAGGATAGTCAGCTTTTCTTGAAGCCCACCACTGAAGTATGTCTGTTTCACCCTGAACTCTTGGTAATAATAAATAGGAGTTAAATTCATGGTTAGCAATGTTATTGTCATTTTGGCTTGAATGTTCTTGAGCCATGGGACTAGAAAAAATATCTTCACTATTTATGTCACTAGGTGCTGCATCTGATAAATTATTTGATTCATAATAATTGGTAGCTAATTCAAGATACTCTATACATGCTTCTGAAATGGTACTATGTCTTTCATCTTCTGAAAATATTTGCATGTCTTTTGTTTGCAGATCAAAAAATAGTGCAAGTCGAATTGGTTTCATTGGTTCTGAAAATCATTCCTGAATAAACTCAATAAGAAGATTTTTGAATTTTTGAATATCACTATTATTTGTTATTGCACAATTAAGTTTTATTTTAATGAAATTAATCGCAAACCATGCTTGAGAAAGTGTTGGATACTGTGAACCTGATAATTTTTTTGAAATAACTTCGTAAGGGTACAATAACTTTACTAACTCAGTTATTTTTTCCTATTGACATGATGATAATTCTTTTTCTTCATAACTTCTTAATGAAATATTATCATTTATTTTAACTAAAAACAATTTATACTTATACATTGCTGGCTTAAGAATTGTTAATCATTTTAAAAGATAAAATGTCGAATTCCATCTTATAGAAATATCGCGAACTACAAAAAGAAAGTTATTCTGGTTTTCTATCTTCATTTGAGCTTCCAAAAGAAATTGTTTTTGCTTTGGGCTTCTGCTAAAGTGAGATACAATGTCTTTATATTTTTTTATTAGGTTAGTAATTTCAGGGCAACCTTTTAATGCATCATTAATTGCAAGCTGCAAAGTATGGCCAAAACAATAAACTTTAAAAATTCTATATTTTCGCTCTAATTTTTCTAAACAAGATTTAATGTTTGTCACATTATCGATCGTACCGCTAGTAGTTATACATTTAAGCTAGAAACTATCTAAAATTTTAGTGATTTTATTTAAAAGACACTCAGAAGTATGTGGATATGGGAGATACGAAATGTTACCAATCATTTCTTTTATTTGAAAACTATCATTAATCCAGTGAAGAGTAAGTCTGATATACGGATCACTATTATTTGATGTCCACATATCAATAGTAAATAAAATATAACTAACTTCTGAACTATCTTGTGCATATTCACGAAGGTTTTGCAAAACCTTATCCTCGAAATTAATAAGAATCTCCTTTAAATGATCATTACCAAGTATATTAGCTTGGACATCTAGTCCTTCAATTATTCTTTTAAATGATCATAATTGTATAATCGAAAATGGCTAAAGTTCTTTAACGATGAAAGCAACTATATTATTATTAAGATTTTTTTGTTTAGAGTTATTAAGCACATATTTTTTTATTTTATTGAATGTTTGTATTATCATTGGTTGTGAGGATTCTGGTATTATAGAAAATTCACAAACATTATCCTTTACTACAACCTTTACCTGACCACCTTCTATCATGGCTCATGAAATATGATGTTTATTTCTTAAATAATACTATAAATTCGAAATAGAACCATCCTTTAGATATTTATTTTTGGAGTGCAAGTTTTATGATGACAGATCCGATACTCAAGATTATTAATTAATTTCATTTCATAAAACTCTTTTACAGGACTACCACCCGGTCTTTCAACCTTTTTCGTTTGACTAGAAATTTGCTGCTAGTTTGTGATATGAAAGACTGAAGTGAATTTTCATATCTATTCATACTATCAGATTCTGACCCATCTAGATTATCAGCTTCAGGCTCTAACATCATATCATCTTCAGGCTCTAACATTGTATCATCTTCAGGCTCTAACATTGTATCATAATCAGGCTCGAACACCATATTATCATTAGACTCGAACACCATATTGTTTTCAGGCTCTAACATCGTATCATTTAAAGATTCATCACTCATTTCTCTGCTTGGCTAATTTAAATCTAGAGAACTACAATGTTTTATTCTAGAATAAAATAAGTTGGTTAATTTTTCATAAAAAATATAATAATGACCAAAAGATGATAAAGTAATAAATTACCAATGGTAATTTCGTTTGAAAGTAGATTAGTAGTAGTAATATTGTGGGTGCTGAAACATTACAGATGATCTAGAGTGTATTTATCAGTAAAACTTGGTCATGAAATTTTATACAATATACTGTATATGTGTATAGTATAGAAAGGTTTCCTAACCCAAATATGATGTATTTGCCATTACCATTGTTCTTTTTTAAAAAATTTCACAGAAATGATGACAATGGTTTCAAAAATTCTCATAAAATTATTAGCCTGAGCTGATTTCAGATAATGCGTCAATGCTTTACGCTTATTCAATTCAATTTAGTTCCAATTCGCTTGGCTTTAACTATTTCATGAATATACTGAACCAAAATTTTTATAAAAGTAACATTATGATTATAGATATATTCACAAAAAAAAAAAAATTTTTTTTATATTTAAAATCGTCCTGTTATACTCAATAATTGTTACACCAACTTTATCAATCTTTTCAAATTAGGGAGACAATCGAATTCTATAAATTTTATAAATCTGCATATTATTGTAAAAACAATTGTAATATGCAGAATTCATTGTATTTATAGAATTCGATTGTCTTCCTAATTTGAAAAGTGCTTATTGCTCTTTTTGATTTAGTTGGATCGATGACCTGCATAGTGTTTTTTAAGTCTGTGAATACACAATAGAAAACTACTTTATGTTCATCATATTTTTTTTAAATATAAGACTTCTAAAATGAGTTCTACAAAATATAAAAAAATTATGCAGATCATTGATCCAACTAAATCGAAAAAGAGCAATAAAAAACTTTGATTAGCATGATAAAAAATCCATTTGATTGGTTGTCAATCATCATAGTAACACTATATATAAAAATACAATCGATCATAGGATAAATTATAAACGAATCTGATTATATTTGATTAAATTTGTCAGAAGCAAGTAGTATTGAAGAATAAAATTTCTTTGAAATTTCATTGTCTTTTTGCTATATAAATTTATAACTTGCAAGTAGTAAGTCCTAAATTTTTATAGCAAACAGACAATGAAATTTTAAAGAAATTTTATTCTTCAATACTACTTGCTTCTGACAAATTTAATCAAATATAATCAGATTTGTTAGCAACTTAATATATAAGCAATTGTGTTTTCGGATAGAACATTATTATAAGCAGCCAATGAAATTTCAGGGATCGACAACCAATCAAATGGATTTTCAACCATGCTACTTTGATTGTCATAATTATTTATATGACCCATCGACCTGAGTCATGACCCGGGCTAAATGTCTAACCCATCGGGTCACTATTATCTGACCTGGATCAGAACACTATTCAGAACATGAGCAAAACATATAATTCTGTCAATTTAGAACTTTTTACAAAGTTTCTTAAATGAATATCAATGTCTTAAACCCTTATTAATATATTTACCAACCTTCTTAACCAAAATTGAGTTATATATAATCTTGATCTTACCAATTTTTATTCAGTTAAAAATAGTATAAATCAAGAAGAAACTATAACTTTATTATTTTGAAAAATCTATTATATTTCTCTAATTTATAAAATTGTCTTACAATTCTCAGGTTATTCTTTATTTGTATCTTGGAAAACCAACTTATACTTATCTCAAACTCAAACTTTAAAAACATCTATATCAGTTTTAGCTTATATAAATAACATTTACTTGATAGCAAAGTCAAAGAGAAGCTTAATCTAATAACTAAAACTGCCATATTCTTCTATTAAATAGCCAATATCTAGATTAACCTGACAAAGTTTATTCTAGTCACAAACTTCTTTACTACTTTTATATGGTTTTCTAAATCTCTAATTTATTCTATTTCTAAAAATTAATCTTTCAAGTTTCTTAAATATTGGTTTATACTTAATAACAAACAATTTCAAGCTATCAAACTAATAAAAGAAGAGGCTTATAATCTTATTAATATCACTAGCATAAAGAAATTTACTGACAACAAATTGCTTATATTATCAATACAGTAATCATTTTAACTTTGAAATATTGATTACATAATACTATTTTTTCTTATATTACATGTAACCAAATCTTATCCAAATATCTTACTATAGCAAAACACAAGTCTCATCTTTCTAGATCTATACCAAATAGCATAATGCTTACCCCATATTTATATAATATTTATAATATATAGGACATTTAACTCTAGCATTATATCTCTAATTATCTCTAATGAATCAACAACCCTGATCTTCTTGGCATTACAACTCGAATTAGACTTCAACAACTACAAAATAACTTATGATCCCCTATTAATATTTTATATTATTCTAAACCAATTATTGATAATCCTAATAGATACTTATTAAACTTTAAAATTATTCAACTTTTTATCTATATTGGCTTAGTAATCTTAGTCAATTTTAATATTATATAGCCTTATACAATTAGTAATAAAGGCCAGTTACTAGAATCAATTTTATCTCAGTATTTTAAATATCCAATCTTTAAAAAACAACTTAGACAATTAAATATTATATATTTTGAACAACTTTGCATAGCGAATAACAGTACTTTATTAAACTAAAAACATCTTTTATCTAGATTTTTATACTTGCCTAAGGGAAGAAAACCTCTTTGGTTTTCTTATTTAGAAGATACAATTCTAGCACACTCTTACTACCAAAATATATTATCACACTACCAATCACTTGATCATAATTCTTATGCCTATTATACTATTAATACATCTAAAAAACTTACAAAATCTAAATTTTGATTACTTTCATATCACAATAAAAAAATTATTATTGTAAAAATACAAAAATACTTCTTCTTATCTAACCATTACTTCATCATTCACTAGACTTCTAATATAAATTTAAATTACTCAAAATTTTATCCTCTACCTCTTGCTGAATACAAATAATATACAGGATGCTATCTTAATTCTTAGAGAATTAACCAAACTTGTACTGTTAAAGTTTCTGCAATTATTTTAATACAATTTCTTGGCAGAACCAATTCCAAACACCAACTCAACCTTAATGCAAACTACTTGGATCTTATCTGCTTTATGACTGTCAAGCATCCAACCTATATTCATCTTCTATCTATAATTCTTATTTCTAATTTAATTACTTCTAAAATCTTTATTTTAAGTAAAACTACTAACAAACTTATATCTATCTTTTAACCTAATTACTCTTACAAACAACTATTTTTTTATACTAATTGCTCAGTAATCAACTTTGGTACTGGTCAATGCACAATGAGTATTGGTTGAATCCAAGTTAATAATAATAATCAAACTATTAACTTCTTTTTTGCTAAATACAATTTTGGCCATCATCATATAAAGCTGAGCTCTTTTAATTATTACTACAATTTCAACAGCTTTATGCAATTCAGTAGTCAATATTTTTACCAATTCTTAATCAGTAATTTCCAAATTTAATAACCTTCAAGTTTATTTAAATCATCCCAATAAGTTATTCAAATTTAACTCATGACCTATTTGGTATACTCTTTCTAATATCATTAAATCACACAAACTACAAATTATCTTTTACAAAGTACAAACTTATTTAGATAATACTCTTAATAAGCAAGCAGACTCTCTTGCCAAACAACATCCATTATTACTACTTCTATTATTTAATTATACAAATCTTTACAATTCTTATCATATTTCTCAATAAAAGCAATATTATATAGAACTTTCTACAAGATATTTCATTAAGCAAATATGTAAAGCCTACATATTAGCTATATAAGCATTACAAAAACATAATAATAAGTAGTCATATTTCAATCAAAATATTGACTGAAGATCCACTTGGCTTTATTTTAATTACAATCAAAAACCTTTATACAATATTACTAATTTTAGACTCAATCAACTAAAATTCTTTAAAATCAAAATTCTTCTTAA